TTCCCATGTTCTCAAAAACATATTCTTTAGACATTACAAGACCTTACAACCTGATTATATCTGAAAATATTTCGAAAATTTAAAAGTGAATGTCAAAGACAACCTCCAACCGTCAACCGTCAAAGCTACCGCCCCATTGAGTCTCTCGGAGAAGGGCTAACCCTAAACTCCGTCACTTATTTACAACTGTTGATTGAAGTCAGCTGGCCGCCTCTCATGCATGTATCCTTTACTCCTTGATCTCATCAGGCCACGGTCAACTACTGTAAGTCGAACTTTTCATGCTGGACGAACCTAATGCTAGAACAATAGATTTTGTCCATTAGCATTAGTGAGCCTACTCGCAGGCTAATCCCATATCAATTTCGTTTTATCTTGCGTAGCAGGCGGTGTTTTGATGTGTCTTTCGCTTTTGGTTCACAAAGTTATGGACAAATCCGTGCGATAACTGAACAGGGGTCAAACAAGAAAACGAACCATAACAAAACAACCGCGGCTGCCCAGGCTACGTGGCCTCAGAACGCCACAAAGTTCAGTTACCGTATAACAGTAGAAGCATATTTTAAAATCGCTTCTTCTTTCCTCCAAAGGTGAGAAATACTCTTCAAAGGACTAAAGATGAATGCTTTTACCAAGATCTTCATCTTGTTCACCCTGTTCAGCACTGCACAGTCCGGTCCATTGGCTTATGCAATCTGTCAAACTGGATGTAATACTGTGTGGGTGGCCTGTGTCTCTGCCGGTGGTGGAGTAGCAGGGGTTTCCACCGGAGGAGTTGGAGTTCCCGCCGCTATCCTGGCGTGTAATGCTGCCCAGGGAGCTTGTATGGCTGCCTGCGTTGCTGCTGGTCTCTCGCCCACCCTTTGAGGCAGTCCTGTTAAGACCTCAGCCGCCGGTTTTGCGTTACCTTCACTTTAAATTTTCGCTTTGTTAAATCGTAAGTTGAATAGGTTATAAATTGTAACTTGAATGTGTTATAAGTCGTGCTGGGGTAGGTAGTTAAGACCATAACACCAGTAACTGTTGAGAACACACAACGGACTCTCGAAATATTGTATTTTTGATGATAAAATCTTAGCGATTAAAGGAGAAATTGCTATGTGTGAGGTATATTGGTATATGGTGATATTATTGAAATAACTGAGATAGTACGCTTGTTCTGATTGGTCAAAAAGCTATGGTTATGATTAAGCTGGTAACCCATAGAAAAAGCATCCAGACCACGAGCCATACAAACCGAATATCATCTGCAAACAACGATTTGTTGGGAAAGAAAGAGGTGATGCTTAACTTTATTATTTTGTGATTAAATATTAATTGGAAATTGACATTTGTAGCGCAAAGAAGTTAGATTTCGTGACATTAGATTTCACAATAATGTAGACAAAGTCCGAGTATATTTACGATATAAAATGATGTAACTGCATGCATTTTCTTAGGCTTAATAAGGTGAAAGAACGTGCGATTTTGTAATAGACACTTAATTTAGATGCATTACAATGGGAACTTTTACTGTACATGTGATTAATGTAGAAATACTGCCTTACGCAAGGATAGTAGAAAAACCACGGACGTTTTAGTTGATCGTTGATCGTTTAGTTACGTTGATCGTTGTGTTACGAACGTTGAATATGTGAGAATTGTACATCGCAGTAGATTGTTGGATTGGATTAAATCGTGTTGTTACATCGAAAGATACAGTCCTCTTGATTTGTTTGAACCAGCGGAGCGGGGTTAAAAGAATTCCGCAACACGATTTGGAAAAGCTAAAAAGCAGTACAATTTACTCGCCCAGCCCTTCTCTCTTTTAAAAAGCGTTGGTTTCTACATTTTATTACTAAGTTCTACTATTCACTACTACCATAGTTTTAAATTGTCATCAAGACCAATATAACACTCAAATATAGTGAAACCTGGATTACCGGCTGTGCCTTCTCGATCTGCTTAATTCTTCATATCCTACTCAGCCTCATTTATTAATTGCTAAATATTATTTACATACAATCAGATACATACAAGTTAACAGAATTAAGGTTGAAAGAGAAAAAAGTAAAAAATATATAATTTAATATTAAACGAAATGAGATAACACGGACTTCAAAGCTGTTAAAATCTAGAGATTATAGTGTGTCAATATTAGCATCATCAAACAATAGAATATGTAAAGGTTGTCGATGAATTGCTAGCCTGAGAAAACACCCGACACTTGGCGACGCTACCACTGGTTTCCCCCACAAATGACATCTGAGAAACGAGCGCAGAAATTCCATACTGATGACGCGTCACTACCCAGATCTGGGTAGTGCTTCTGATTGGTCGCGCCGCGTGGGAAATTTGTTTCAACCAATTAGGTAATGACGCGTCATCGGTATGGAATTCCTGCAATAGTTTCTCAGACGTCATTTGTGGGGGAAACCACAAATTCTCAGGCTAGATGCCGGATTGCTGCCTCAAGTTTATGTTTTCGTAATGAACGAATATTAAGAGGAATACAATTCCACGCCTTAGCACCAGTTGCTGAGGAAAACGACTTTATTCTCTGCTGTGTTCTCGAATTTTCAAAAAAAAAACGTCCGTTCCACACCCGCATTATTGTTTCCTCTTCGACGTATAAACGCTCGCCTTCTCCGTCACCGGGCGGGACTGCAACATTTTTTCGTTAAAAAAAATCAGACGACAGTGTAGCGAGCGTTCGATTTGTTTAATCACGGGTATAGTATCATATGGAAATTAGCCTACTTACATATTTCACTTCTATCCAAGCGACCGCGATTGCCCCAGTCGAACGGATTGTTCCTCATGTCATTAGCTGTCCCCGTGTGATCGTCTAGATCGCTTAAACACTTTTTAAGACGACTGGTGCGATTGAGACGATCCTGCGCTCTATGAGAACCAGACTTTCCTGACGCTAGTGTCACTTATAAAGGGTGTTCCAAGGGTGTGACATGAAATTATGGTCACGGTAGTCGTGGGGCCGGGCGCACAAAAACCAGGAAAAACACCAGAACAAAGAGGAAGCGGAAACCAAAGTATGTCCATTACCTTTTTATTTCTAGATAAGTAAGAAGTACTAAATAAATATTCATATTTCAGCGAATTCTCTCTGATTTTAACTACCTAACTACTTGCTAAACGTAAATCATATTTCCTTCAGTGCAGTTAAGGGTGAATTCATTTGCCTGTTGGAGTATTTATATTATACGGTTAGAAACAATGAAAAACTCCAACGGGCAAATACAACAGCTAAACCCGTATGCTGCAAATATCTCCACCCTTTATTTCAGTCTCGTAAACGTGGATACATAGGATTCAGTATTTTAATTACTTAATTCATACATTAAGAAGTCCTTACGCATAAGTTACTCTTTCTTCCAACGTCTCTTATAACGGAATTCCTCCGACCTTTTAAACTTAAAATTTACGAAAATTATCAATTTTTATTTTGCATAATACTGAAAACAACTGCGTTGTAGTATCGCTTTTTTAAATTATTGACTTTGGACTGGTTCAGTCTCATAACCGGCTTTATGTTCGATGAAGCAGTGATATTTTAACGAGAAATTAAATGCTGATTCTCTTACGGCTAAAGGATTATGTTCGCAAAATGTACACTATGTAAAGGAGGTGGTAGTTTTCCTCAAACTAAGAAAAAAAGTAGCAGTATTTATCGTATGCCATAAATATGGGTATTCTGCGGTATCCCATGGGTTTTGTTCAGCGGTGGTTCCTGAGGCTGTAAATCGAAACTGAACGAAAGAGAAGTGTACGCTACAAATGATATACCGCTCTAAAAGTGTATTTCTCGCCGGGATAATTCAGAGTTAATTAGTGCTTCCTCATGACATAGCGAGAATATCCCACTTGATTTTTCATTGTATAGACACTAACGACCTAATGCCTCGTGCGTATACTTCGAAAAATCAACTCTTAAGCATTGCGCAATGAGCACAGTCAATACCCACGCGGTAGTATCTATGTTTCAACCTTAATATTTCCCCCAATTGAGCTGTTATACAACAATATACTTTTAATTTGGCACCTTTTTCTGTTCATAGCTTCTTTAAATTTAGAGTGCATGTATTTACAACAAAAGTCCAGTTCTGCTAGTCAAACAGAAAAGATAAAAACAATGCTTGATGATAGCTCCAGAAAACTTTTTAAAAGCCCCAAATTGAATTAAAAAAAAAAAACAAAACAAAATAAAACAAAAAACAAACAATTGCACCTGAAACGATAGCGGGCGGTGGTACATGGCAGCCACTGCGGGAGGAAGGGTGGCTGTATGGAGATATGGAGGGGAGGGGACGTGACATTTGGTCAAGATGGTAACACGTGCGCTTCAATTGGCCATTTGCACATCTCCCATAATATACCTTGTTTGCCCGGTAAAATTTTGCATAAGCATTGTCTTTTATTTCTCTTGGGAGCACTATAATATCCAGGAGGAATCAATAACAAAGGTTATGCAAAGGTTTGGGTGGCAAACAAGGTGTATTATAGGAGATGTGCAAATGGTGAATATGGCGATTAGAAGAGATAGAAAGGACTGCAGCAAAGGTACGTACGTGCATTGTTGCCCAACAATGTTGCGTCCGTTTGGACGGGGCTAAAAGTTTGACCGGTATCAAAGTTTGCACGACAACTTCCAACAACACGCAACAGGGTGTGCACGCAGATGCAACATGTAACATCCAACATTGTTGGGGTTGTTGGTCAGCAATGTTGCGTCCGTTTGTACGTAGCCTAAGACGGACGCCGCTTGGGCACTAAGAGTCCGTTTTAGAGAGTAATCCACCTTACAGAGAGGGTCACAGAAAAGCGACGACTAAAGAACAACAAGGACCAACTATAAAATGTAAGTGGCTTTGTTATGGTCGCCGATGAGAGTGAGAGAGTTGACTGTAAATAGTAAGTTTCATGTGGTTTGGAGGGTGGCTCAATTGTTTGCTTTAACGGGGATTTCAAAAGTTAATGATATTGTTTATTTGCTTTGATACTGTTCACACATCCTCTGTGGGCTGTTCAACTTGAACTTCCACTGGGTCTTTGTCTTCATCTCGCGGTGGAAGAATCTGTTAGAGATGTTAGTTGAAGAGTTAGTCCAAAACAAAATGCGTTTCTTGAGTTTACAAATTTCTCCAGTTTTACAGTGGTCAACCTCCAAGACCCACTCATCACTGGGGAGTTTAAGATACCACAAGGGCGACGGCGGCGAAAACGTCGCTTAAAAAGTGGATTTGCGTTCTTCCAATCTCTAGTGCGATTATTCCAACTCATTCACTTTGTCAAATGGAGCCGAACTCTTCTAAGGCAGAACTCCTAAGAACCATACTCAAGTTCAGAAAAAGGAAGAAAATATCGTCGTCGCTTGTTTACGTCGTCCATAAAACGTGAAATTAAGCATTTTCATGTCGTAGTCGTACAGTGACGGAAAAGAATGTACAAAAAAGCGTGATGTACGTGCAAAGCTGTTGCTTTGCAAATTTAATTTACACCTATAGCTTTTTTGACGTTCTCGTTGCCTTCGCCTTCATCGTTGCTAGAGCTCCCTATCAACACACTATTCTTACCTCGAATGGGTCGCTTACGGAGATAATACAATCCAGTTTATAGCTGTAATAACACATGACATAATGACCAGCTTCTTCCGGGAGGCAATCGAATAGCACAGCACAACCATTCTCGCCATACTCGTCCCCGTCTCCCACAGCCCACTCGTACATCTCATAGTCAAAGACGTGCTGAAAGCCAACCTGCGTGTTTCAAAGAGGACAATTTGAGTTACTTTAAAACGTAATGTAATTCTGGTATTCTCATTTGCCTTAATTGTCTTCAGTTGCACCTTGCAGTGAGCCCAGCTACTGTCATTAGGAATCAAAAAGAAAATAGAACCAAAAGAACTTCCTAGCTGTACAATTACCCTCCTACTAACTGCATATAGCCGGCAACTTGAAATTTTAGCGACTGCCCTGACCTTGGAGGAGTAGTCTCTTTTTCTACTAATTTCAAATTAAACCAGGTCCTCGGGGCTCGAAAAAACTTGAATTCCAACTTGTCTTTTGGGCAAGCAGCTCTCTTGCTTGCCTGGGGCCACTTCTTGCTCGCCTTAGTTAATGATTTTGTTAGAGGATGACTTGCCTTGACCCTTGCCCGTTGGGTAAGTAAGCTTTAAAAGTTACTTGCACTGCAAGAAAATCCACTTGTGCCAGACGACCGGACTGGACACTTTTCAAGCCCTGCTTCCTACATTTAAACCCCGAAACAACTTTCTGTCAACGCGTAGGCTTCAAAAAGTTTGGAAAGAAGGTAGTCGCTTTCCAGTCATGTCGTGTGGGCAAGCTGTTTTCGCTGGCAAGATTTTGCGGAGTTTACTTTACTCGAGAATGAGAAGTGTCAGATAGGAGGCAAAGAAATAAAGGAATATTTAACATGGCAGCAATAAAACGCAAGTCAATAACGACAAAAGCAGAAAAAAAAACACAAACCCGGTAAAGGCCAATCCAATCCCAGCTGTATGTCTTGTAATTCTTCACTACATAAACACTCAAACCATCCTACGAGACAAATAACAGGGACTCTGCACACAACGAGAATATAACCTCAATGCGATACTAAAATACTGTGAGAGCACATTCTCTGTGATCTACAAAATGTGTCATGACGATGTCATGGCAACTTTCATAAAGTTGCTGTTTATATCGATTTAAAAGTGTCCTAAAATATTTCGCATCTCCTTGGTCTTTAATTGCCACGCTTCGTGATAAACAAAACTATCTTGTGCTCCGTCACATGTAAAACCCAAACCACTGACTTGCAGCACACTATTAAGCATTTCCCCCAAACTCCGTGGCTCTTATGTCTTCTTTGAGGGAGGGAGAAAGAGGACCCTGGGGAAAAGGTTGGCGTTTTTCCCGCGCTGCACAACGCTAGACGCTCACTACACTTTGACGTGATCGGTTCCTTGCATTAACGACGTCTGCTTTTATTGGTCGAGCGAAACAATTAACAATGACTAACCTCATTTCCATACCAAGGTAGACTCATAAGATCTAACTTCCATGAGATCGGGTCCTCCATTGATGAAATCGAGTCCTATTTAAAAAAACAATTNAGACGCTCACTACACTTTGACGTGATCGGTTCCTTGCATTAACGACGTCTGCTTTTATTGGTCGAGCGAAACAATTAACAATGACTAACCTCATTTCCATACCAAGGTAGACTCATAAGATCTAACTTCCATGAGATCGGGTCCTCCATTGATGAAATCGAGTCCTATTTAAAAAAACAATTACACGCTGTAACAATCTTTTGCAAAAAAGTATAGATTTAAGATGTAAGGCAAGTGCGAAAGATTTCTGACAGTTTTCAACAGTGCGTTCACTTTGTATGAATTTAAAAACCAGTAAAATGATGAAAGAAAAGCAAAACCACTTTAGAAAGTGACAAGAACCTCAATAGTACAGAAAGGTGGCCTACATTTAAGTCGACTACGAGAGTAGCACCAACAGGCCTGTGATCACTTGCGAGATATGACTGCTGTGACGTGTACGATTCCATTTGAACTGTGTTTTTTCTTTCTTCAGTGACCTGCCACAGGACTCTGTCTGTCCAGGCTGGCTTGCGATACTTCCCACTGGAGAGGAAACCATAATAGATTTTTATCTTATGGTAAAAGAGTTCAAACCTCTTTAACGTTAAAGATTAACACCTTTTACAATTTTCATTTTGTTGAATTAAGTATTTTCCTGAGATTTTAGAGAGTTTAATGCGCCACCAAACCATCTCGCCACCAAGAAATCATGCATCTTAGCACTTAGCAAAAGGACAAGTCCCCAAAAGCAAATTCCTTCACACAAATTTAACAATGAGGTAAGGGTCAAGAGACAAAGTTACTTTAATTTCATAAGAATGGCTATTGGATTTTAACAACTGGCACCTTTCAAGCGATGCAGATGAGCCGTAGTCTTAATCGTAAGGACCGTCAATTACGGTCGACAGATTTGTATTTGAGCTTGACGAAGAAGTAAAAATCCTAGGTAAGTAAGTGGTGACGAGTAGACTTTTTGGCAGTGATTTCCTTGGTGGCGAGATGACCGTTAACCTTCGGAACTACTCATTCCTCCCAGCCCATGAAGAAAAATCTGAATTAATACCCCCAGATGCCGATATTGCAAGGCAAACGAAACTTACAATATCATTTTAAGTTGTTACCACTACATAACAGGATTACGATAATAACTCATATGCAAGGGTCCTGTGTCTGATTACCGGAAGGTAACATTACTTATAAGTTACCTGTCTGTGTCCCATTCATTTGTTCCAGGGTTGTACTTGTATGTTGGAGGAAACTTGAGATCACCTTCATGAAAGTTTACAAAGCATTTGCCCTCCTTCTGACTCTGTAACAGCTTTTCAGCAGAACAGACAAAAATAAGTCTTTACTTCAAACTGTCACTAACACTACAGATAGCCTGTTTCAAGAACTCAGTCAGACCTGACGAGCAACGAGAAAGGTTTGTGCGAAAAAATAAATTAAATAATTCAAAAGTAATAATATCTAAGTTTCTTCGGTCCTTATCCATATTTTTGTGTACGTGCTTTTTTTGCTCTCTGAAGAGTAACTAAGAGCATGGAACAGGCTACACTTTAGAGAAACACTAATCAGTCCTGCTGTTAAAATGTGGATCTTCAAATTAATTATTTAATTAATTATTAAATTATCGTGGGTGTGGAACTCCTCATAAATTTTCTACGCAGGTTTCATTCGCTTGGCTGTCTTTGAAAGAAAAAAAGAGAGACTACTCAAAGACAGGTCCTAACAATAATTCTTGACTGATGATCAACTTCTTTGATCACTATTGATGACTTACAATATAGTAGTGGTACACTGTACATCACTATGTAGATGTACAGAATATATTTGAATACCTGATCATGCGGCCATAATGCTGAGTATTCTTGTTTTCCACAGAGACCCTTAATATTTTCAATGGTTTCATTTATTCTGTAGTTAAAGTCACCCAACCAAAAAACATAGCTGTAAAAGGAAGACAAAAACAAAAATACAGTTTATCTTATTGAAATAGTGAAGGGGTTGCTTCAAGGGATGACACAGGGCACTCACTTCCCACCAATTTAGACTGGGTTTGAGTGCCAGGGTTGATGCCATATGTGGGTTGAGTTCGCTATTGGTTCTTTCCTTTGCTTCAAGAGGTTTTTATCCGGGTATTCCAGTTTTTCCTTCTCCTCAAAAACCAGCGTCTTCAAATTCCAGTTTAATATGGAACCAGTTGAATGAACTCCCAAGTGTCACCTTCTCCAAGTAAAATTAGTTTTTTTTTTTTTTTGGGGGGGGGGGGGGAGGGGGGGGGGTTTAAGAGGGTTTTTTTGGGGGGGGGGGGAGGGGGGGGGGGGGGAAAAGCGTGGGGGGGGAGGGTTTTTCGCGTGGCGTGTTTTGTGTTTGACAGAGTTTTCATAATAATGTT